TTGCCATATAATCACCACAAAACAAAGTAAACGACCAACAGATGAATAAGTGAAAATATGGAAAAAGACATAGTTTTTAAAACTGGACAATTGATATGGTACAATTTTAAGTAGATCAAGGAGAAAGGGCCTGTTTCAGTGACTATTTAGTTGAACTGTGAATGACATCATTCTAGCAGAATGGTCGCTATATCTGCCTGTATTTCATGCAAGTTATTAGAATGTTCATCAGTGCTCTAAGTTCATGATATTCAGTTCTAATTATCCCCCGCCGAAAAGGCGGCGGGGGATATAGAAATAGTCTCCATCCGACTTTCCGTCTGTGCGTCCTTCCATCCGACATTTTTGTCTGGAGCATATCTCTAAAAGTATTTGAGTTATCAACTTGAAACTTCATAGGTGGATAGACCTCATTGAGGAGGAGTGCAGCGCACAAGAATGATAACTCTACCCTGCATAATTTTTGAGTTATTGCCCTTCGTTATTTTTCAAAATTGATTTTTGTCCAGAGCATAACTCCAAAAGCCTATGAGATATCAACATGAAACTTCATAGGTGCATAGATCTCACTCAGGAGGTGTGCAGTGCACAAGAATGATAACTCTACCTTTCATAATTTTTGAGTTATTGCCCTTTGTTATTTTTCATACTTAATTTTTCACCTGAGTGGAGCATAACTCTAAAAGTGTTTGAGATATCAACATGAAATGTCATAGGTGGATAGATCTTATTGAGGAGGAATGTTGTGCACAAGAATGATAACTCTTCCCTAACCAATTTTTGAGTTATTGCCCTTTGTTCTTTTTAATGCTATTTTGTCCAGAGCTTATCTCAAAAAGTATTTGTGGTATCAACTTGAAACTTCAAAGGTGGATGGATCTCATTGAGGAAGAGTGCAGTGCACAAGAATGATAACTCTACCCTGCATAATTTTTGAGTTATTGCCCTTTGTTATTTTTCAAAATTAATTTTTGTCCAGAGCATAACTCAAAAGGCCTTTGAGATATCAAAATGAAACTTCATAGGTGCATAGATCTCACTCAGGAGGTGTGCAGTGCACAAGAATGATAACTCTACCTTTCATAATTTTTGAGTTATTGCCCTTTGTTATTTTTCATACTTAATTTTTCACCCGAGTGGAGCATAACTCAAAAGTGTTTGAGATGTCAACATGAAATGTCATAGGTGGATAGATTTTATTGAGGAGGAATGCTGTGCACAAGAATGATAACTCTTCCCTATACAATTTTTGAGTTATTGCCCTTTGTTCTTTTTATTTGTTTGGGTCGTCAGACCAAACAAATAATGGTAGCGAAATTTCAGACTCTAATGCTGTTAATTGCAGGTGCCGAAATTAGTCCGCTTTTTTGAAGCGGTTACTTCCATTTATATGTAACACTTAGGCCGAAAAATTTAGGGGAGATCACTGCGTAAATATGGCCACATGACAGGCGGATTAATTTTCAAGCAAAATAATTCCCGAATGGTCGAAGATTTCTAATATTGTTTTATTCTTTATAAATATACATGCTTATAGTAAGCGCCATGATTATTTACACAAGTGTTAAACAACAGTTAGCGTCGTTACAAACCCTAAATAGAATAATATGGTTTTCTTCAGGCCGTTAACATATAAATTCACCGTGGCCGAGGGGTTTGCGCGCTCGCTTAGGAAGCGAGAGGTCTGGAGTTCAAATCCCAATTACGGCAACTCTTTTTTTTTCAAATTGTTTAAGTCAAATAAACATTTGATCGAATATCAGTGTTGCAATTAGTCTTATAGCCAATCTACTACAATTAAAACGCTGGAAAGCATTGGTGGCACTATACAAAAACAAATTGTTTTATAATCTCACAACCTTCACCTTTCTGACATTCTGAGACCCAAACAAATTCAGCACCTTCTGTGCTTTGATTCATACTATTTTGTCCGGTGCTTATCTCAAAAAGTATTTGAGGTATCAACTTGAAACTTCATAGGTGGATGGATCTCATTGAGGAAGAGTGCAGTGCACAAGAATGATAACTCTACCCTGCATAATTGTTTAGTTATTGCCCTTTTTTTATTTTTCAAAATTAATTTTTGTCCAGAGCATAACTCAAAAGGCCTTTGAGATATCATTATGAAACTTCATAGGTGCATAGATCTAACTCAGGAGGTGTGCAGTGCACAAGAATGATAACTCTACCTTTTATAGTTTTTGAGTTATTGCCCTTTGTTATTTTTCATACTTAATTTTTCAATTCAATTTTTTTCTCAAAAAGTATTTGAGGATAATCAACTTGAAACTTCATAGGTGGATAGATTTTACTGAGGAGGGATGCAGCACACAAGAATGATAACCTACCCTGCATTATTTTTCAGTTATTGCCCTTTGTTATTTTCAGCCATCAGTATTCACATAGGTTTCAAATCTGTAATCACTATAGCCATCAGTTTTCATTACCAAAAGACCTCTTATAATGGAATTATTCTGCTCTACTACATATACATTCTTCCAATGAGCAGACACATTCGGCGGGGGATGGCCATGTTGACATGGCTCTTGTTTTAAATTTAGAACATCTTGAATATTATTATTAGCATGGCAAAAAACAACAACAACAACATATGGTCTGTACTGGTGATATTATTACAAGCTAACATCAAAGAGTACAAACAATTTTTTTATTCATTTAACATTACAGATTTACCTATACTAGTATACATGCATAGCCATCTTTCCAATTTTTGGCATCGATTTTAGAAACATTTTCCTGGAAAAAGAATATCTAGATAAGTTAAACCAAATCATTACATAGAAAATGATTGTCAGATGGTAAATTACCATTTCATGATATAGGTAATTTTGTATAGTATTTTCATTATTTGAAGATTCTTTGATGTACATTTTTCCCAAATCTACCTGTTTAATTGGTAATTGATCTTTACCATTGGTAATTAGTATTCGAAATGTCAAGAGTTTAATTTCAAAGATTTATTCTGATACAGGGTTGTAGTAGTTTGTTTAGTTTAAATGTTAAAACGATAAGTCAGACAGTTCTCTAAGCTAACATTTTGTTTTGACTGCAATTAACTGATTATTCTAATTGCTGAATGACTATCTGATATTTAGCAAACTATTGGCATTTATTTGGTCATTGCTTTAAAACTGGGTGATTTATGAAGTATTAAGCTTGGATAAAAGTTGTCAAATCTGTTGTGATGACCAGACAGTTCAAGGGATGCATTATACTTACAACTGGCAAATATACTGTAACTATATATGTCAGAGTTTTGAAAATGTCCAAAAAAAAAGTAAAAAAGTAAGAGAGTTTGACTCTGTTATTTTAGAAACATGAAAATTGTTTAAGTAATACCAGAATAGAGCTATCCATATTGCTATCTCAAAGAGGGAGCATTATGCATATTGATGAGTTCTGCCTCAGAGACCCACATAGAGGTCACTTGGTCAAAGGTCAATGTCAGCAAGGTCAAGGTCCATGCACTGGGGGGCATTTGCTTTTTCAGGTTTTTTTTTATCGATTAAATGTTTAAACTGTTGTGCATGGATTTATTATTACTGGATTTTTTTAAAAAAAAAGATAAGAATTGTATTCTTACTCTTAGCAGAAAAAGTAGCAATTTTGATGAGTGTAGGGTCTTTGAATGGTTATTTTAGCATTTCTCTTGTCGGGGAAACTTCATTTTTTTGTTTGGAGCAATTTACTTTTATCTGATGATCCAAATTGAAATATATGAATGATACAGTAAAGGGTTTGGATTATCTTCAGCCTAATGATTATAGATGACAACAGCCACACTGGACATCCTAGAACTTGCCAGCATCTGCTTTGATCAGTGGCAGTAAAATCAATTGTCCCTTTGCCCAGGTTGTCCCACAGCTTGTACGGACAAGTGGAAATTTTCAAGAATTTACTGTATAGATGTCATATGGACAAGTTAATAAATGTTTCAGAGAGAAACAGACTAGTAAGTCAAAATCAGATTTTGCCAGTCCTGTTGATAATACAGAGTTACAGTTTTGTCTGTTTATAATTTACCAGATATGCAATTGCCTTTTTTGATCTTATTGTAGGACATTGACAAAGACCTATAACTCTTATTAAGGTAGAATTAGTTATTCCCCTTTGTGTTCATGGAAAATTTCTACAAGGATGATCTCAATGTTTTATTATCAAGCAGTAGAATGAGAAAATTTACAGCAGTTCTGTGGTGATACATCTTTATCCTTCATTTTTATCTTCTTTACTTTTACTTTGTTTTTTTTAAATATATAAAGCTGAAGTAATATAATTATTATAAGTGGCGGCACGGCCAAGTGGTTAAAGCGTCAGACCAGTTATCTAAGGATTGCTGATCGCGTGGGTTCAAACCTTGTCGATTGCAAGCCATTAATTCCTTGAGCAAGAAACTTTACATTTATAATGCTTTAAGTATTGGTTGGTTCCAGGAACGGATTCAAAAGAGTTTCAATAAGCTTATAGCTTCCAATTTAAAACAAATTGAACTAAATGAATTATTATAAACTATTGAGTTATATAAGTTTTTGCTTTAATTTGGCCATTCGATTTACTTAAAATAAGAAAAAGAACGATAGTTTTATAATTCATCTCATATCTGTTGTTTATTTCTGGAAAACACTGGTTGGCCTTGCCTACTCAAATCTTTCTAAAAATATACTTCTGATATATATAGTATATGGTATGTGCTAATTATATGGAGAAGTGCTGCTGATGAATTTATAGAGATTTTTATATTAAATCAATGCAGAGTGTATTCAAGACTCAATCACTCTTAAATCATTTTGAAATTGTGCAGGTTTTTTTTACTTATTAATATAAAAAATATGTACATGTACTGTAGAATAATATAAAAGTAATGATTAAGACTAGTGTACACTTAATTAAGATGGTAATAATTTTTAAAAATGAAGACACAATAAAATTATTTATTTGAAGAGTGATTTGTAAAAAAGAATTATTTATATTTTCTACAGTTTTCCACCATACTATGGGATGTGCAAGGTAACTTTTTCAATAATATTTTTTTTGTGCATCATCTAGGTGTTGTAGATCCTTACTTGTGATGTCATATGATATTGTGCTTTATACATAGTCGGCAATATAGAAAATTTATTGGTAAATTGTTATGAAATTTTTTTTGTACATTGTTTTGATAACATTTTCATGGTTTTGTACATGCAATCTTTTTTTTTTTTTGCACCAGTCAAATGTAGCACTGACTCTCCAACTTTCTCTGGCAGACCATAGAGAATATAAGGATCTTTGACTCAAACCCTTAGCCAGTCGGTAGCTAAGCTTATACACATGAGACAAGTGCAGACCAAGATCGGCCAGCTGGCAAATTTGTGCCATTACCATGGTCTGCACCATTTTCTTTTCAGTCAGTACATATTTTAATATTTTCCCTGTAAAGATTTAAAGTAAAAAATGGACTGGCCCATCTTAAGAGTTAAGATAAAACATAACCTTTTCTTAAATTAAAACCAATAAAGCCAGCCCAATCAGCGGGGACACTCAGTTAGTGGAAAGTACCTTCAAAATGAGAATAAGCATTTAAAATATCCCTTAATATTTTTGGGCAAAAACAAAACAACTGCATTGAGATGACAAACAGAAAGTCAAATCTATCCACTCATTCCTCCACTATCTCCAACACTGTGTCAAGGTGGTTGACCTTAGAGTTACATTTGACTGATGCATTATAATTAAGGAAATCATGGGGAAGGCTTTATAATATTAATTAAGCCAAGACTGTCAAGGGGTTCAAAACATTGGGGATATAGACTATGACTAGATAATAGCAGAATTTATAGCTGTATATTGTAAGTATGATAGTTCTTCATTTTTCTTTATATGTAGATTTTGGCATGTTCAGGCATCATGGTTTTTTGTAAATTGTAATGATTTCACATTATGAAAATTTTTTAATTTGAGATACAGGTATCAATTTTGAGTGTGTTGCTGTAGAATTATTCACTGTTCAAGTTTAAATGTGCAGTAAATTATAATTACTTAAATGCCTTTATTCCTGGTTGATTATTTTACAAAGCATTTAAACGATGAAGCTTGCATTATTATTATACTGGTAAGTATAATAATGCAAGAAAAATTGATATTTATTTTCATTCTAAAGTGCTAATAGAATGAATGTTGATAAAAATATGTTGAACTAGCTTGAGTCAAGAAGTGACATGATTTGGTATATGACATCACAACTGGCAGCATGTCACATGTAAGCACAATAGCTTGCATATGTTGTGTAATAATACACTTGACTGCACAGGTCTGTCATGTGAAGCTTGTTAGAATTATAGATATTTTAGTGAATAGTTTTTTTTAGGATTTTTAGTATTGATTATGTTTGATTATATTTTCAACTATATTTACACTATATCTAGCCCCAAATTTCATAAGCGCATCAGAGTAGCCAATTTTGAAAAAAATACAAGTTTGGATGTTTGAAGGAGTGGTCAATGTTGGCTGTAAATATAGAAACTTTTATATTGAATTTGAAATCATATAATGACTATACAATAATAAAAAAACATCCAATAAACAAATAATGAGGTATTTAAGACTTTAACAAACAATTTTATAAAATATTAAAATCAAAAGAAACTGCATAATTGGGTATTCCCCTTCCAGTGCAGCAACAATTTGGAAAACTGCATGGGTTTTGCATTTAATCCTGTCATGTTGGAATTGCAAGAAAGTATTAACATGTCAACATATGGTTGCATGTCATCCTTTCAGTAGTATTCACTCTTGTTATTTTGTTTGTTTGTAAATTGAACATAGAAGAAATGTTAGGATCATTTTGTAGTTCTTCCAGGTATATCCCTTTCTGGCCTCCTATTGTAGGCCCCTATTCATAGAATTTACTTAAATCAGCTCATTTCATGAACCATGAGCAACTTTAATCTTTATAGTTAAAACTTGTTCATTTCACCTTTCATCATCAAAAAAAAAGGAAAAACAAGTAAAAAAAACCAACAAAAAGAATGACATTAACAATACTTTTTAGCTTAATTAAGTCATTTGAGATACTGTTAAACCTGTGCTTCTTTGGAACTGGATATGGTCTTTATATACAGATCCAACTGTACATCTTACAAATAAAATCCAGATAGATAATGGCAGGTTATTCATTTATTGTATTCTAATTATTTTCAGTCCAATGTTTTAAAGTTTTATAATTACTAGTGTTTACTTATATCAATATATTTTTTTGATTGTTTTCAGTTCAAGTCCAAAGAAGTGGGTACCAGAACAACAAATAAAAGAAGACATGGGTAGTCAGAATTTAATGCCCAGCTTGGCCTCATTTCCGGCCGCTGGGTCACAACAAAGAATATCATCATCATCTCAGGGAGGCCGCAATAAGGTATGGGTAGATATATTGATTTCATTATTGGTGAAATTTATTTCTGGGGCCATATCAAATGGCTCATAAACTGCCAAATTATGAAATAGATGAAGATATTAGAAACATTTTGACGCAGTTTTCTATGACCTGTCAGACTTAAAATCATGTGCCTGTCACTTAGAAATGTGACTTTTTATGCTCCCCGAAAAATTTCGGGGGAGCATATAGTCGTCGGGTCGTCCGTCCGTCCATCAGTCCCTCCGTACAAACCCAGAGGTACTTGTGTGACTTGGAGAACAATGAGTAACAGTAAATTCTCTTTGATCCTATTCATTCTGTTTTTACTTGTGTGTCTTTTTTTAAGCCTTGTGTGACTAAAAATGGCCAAAAAGATCAAAGGAAAAGACACATAAGTACCATTTTGTGAGTATGTCCGTCGGTCCGTACGTACGTACGTCCCGAATTTGTGTCCGGCCCATAACTTTGTTTTTTGAAGTCCGATTTAAAACTATTTCACAGAAATGATCACCATATTGAGATGACGTGTCACACACAACATTTGGGTCGCTACCTTGAAGGTCAAGGTCACAGCATGACCTTGGAGCAAAATCGTGTCCGGCCCATAACTTCGTTATTTGAAGTTGGATTTTAAAACTATTTCACAGAAATGATCACCATATTGAGACAATGTGTTACGCGCAACATTTGGGTTGCTACCTTGAAGGTCAAGGTCACAGCATGACCTTGCAGCAAAATCGTGTCCGGCCCATAACTTCGTTACTTGAAGTCAGATTTAACAACTACTTCACAGAGATGATCACCATAATTATTGAATCGACGTGTCACATGCAACATTTGGATTGTTACCTTGAAGGTCAAGGTCACAGCATGACCTTGCAGCAAAATCGTGTCCTGCCCATAACTTTGTTATTTGAAGTCGGATAATACAACTATTTTACAGAAATGATCACCATATTGAGACAATGTGTTGTGCACAATATTTGGGTTGTTTTTACACTTTGAACTTTGTCTGTGAGATAACTCTGACACTACAAGAGATATACCTTCCTGTGTCCAAAACCTATTCGGGGAGCATCACCCGGTTCAACCGGCTCTTGTTTGTGATCTGCAAGGGGCAGAAAACCAATACACAAGCTTCAGGCAATACTTATTTTCTATAACTGTAATGATCTTTTGTTTTTTATGGACAAAAGTGTAAAGCCACCTCATTCTAGTGAGAAAAAAAAATGCTGAGAAAAAAAAACATTAAGTGAAAGCAGGTACTTAAATATTCAGAAATCCATGCAGTGTCACTTTCTAAACAAATACTGATTACTTAGCCTAGAAACCTAGAAACATTCTGTGTATAGGTAACTTAATAAAATGAGCAGGATCTTCACTTTATCACATGTAAAATAATGAAATTTTTAAAATGTTTTAGATCTAAATGATAATAAAATGTTATAAAATACTCCCTGGACTTTTATATCTATTTGTTTCTGCCCCACAAATATCACAGTTAGTCACATAGTATAGGTTTGGGTTCAAGTTCAGACAGGAACTTTGATTTCTTTCATCAGGCTTCACAGACGCTTGTCTGTTCTACTAAGATGCAGCCATGTGCCTGAGGTAATGGATTAAACTGAGAAAAAAATAAACCACAAAACACACAAACATTTTGTGGTTTTACTATTTTACTACAGTTAATGAACAATTGAATGTTCATGTATTTAAAGGGTGTAACCCTTGCAGCTTTCCTGACAATGCAAGGTGTTTTGATGACATAATAAGAACATTTCAATTTCTTAAAACTTTTAGGTTCATCCTCTGCTTCAGCAGAAAACCTCAAGATTTAACTTCTTACTGGACTGAAATTGTCCACCCCTTACATGAATATAGTCAATAGTAAAACCTTTGATATAAACAATTTAACTTCTTACTGGACTGAAAAAGTCCACCCCTTACATTTATATAGTCAATAGTAAAACCTTTGATATAAACGATTAAACTTCTTACTGAACTGAAATTATCCACCCCTTACATGAATATAGTTAGTAGTAAAACCTTTGATATAAACGATTTAACTTCTTACTGGACTGAAAAAGTCCACCCCTTACATGAATATAGTCAATAGTAAAACCTTTGATATAAAGATTTAACTTCTTACTGGACTGAAATTGTCCACCCCTTACATGAATATAGTCAATAGTAAAACCTTTGATATAAACAATTTAACTTCTTACTGGACTGAAAAAGTCCACCCCTTACATTTATATAGTCAATAGTAAAACCTTTGATATAAACGATTAAACTTCTTACTGGACTGAAATTGTCCACCCCTTACATGAATATAGTCAATAGTAAAACCTTTGATATAAACGATTTAACTTCTTACTGAACTGAAAAAGTCCACCCCTTACATTTATATAGTCAATAGTAAAATCTTTGATATAAACGTTTAAACTTCTTACTGAACTGAAATTGTCCACCCCTTACATGAATATAGTCAATAGTAAAACCTTTGATATAAACAATTTAACTTCTTACTGGACTGAAAAAGTCCACCCCTTACATTTATATAGTCAATAGTAAAACCTTTGATATAAACGATTAAACTTCTTACTGGACTGAAATTGTCCACCCCTTACATGAATATAGTCAATAGTAAAACCTTTGATATAAACGATTTAACTTCTTACTGAACTGAAATTGTCCACCCCTTACATTTATATTATAGTCAATAGTAAAACCTTTGATATAAACGATTAAACTTCTTACTGAACTGAAATTGTCCACCCCTTACATGAATATAGTCAATAGTAAAACCTTTGATATAAACAATTTAACTTCTTACTGAACTGAAATTGTCCACCCCTTACATGAATATAGTCAATAGTAAAACCTTTGATATAAACAATTTAACTTCTTACTGGACTGAAAAAGTCCACCCCTTACATTTATATAGTCAATAGTAAAAGCTTTGATATAAACTATTAAACTTCTTACTGGACTAAAATTGTCCACCCATTACATGAATATAGTCAATAGTAAAACCTTTGATATAAACGATTTAACTTCTTACGGGACTGAAAAAGTCCACCCCTTGCATTTATATTGTCAATAGTAAAACCTTTGATATAAACGATTTAACTTCTTACTGGACTGAAATTGTCCACCCCTTACATGAATATAGTCAATAGTAAAACCTTTGATATAAACGATTTAACTTCTTACTGGACTGAAAAAGTCCACCCCTTACATTTATATTGTCAATAGTAAAACCTTTGATATAAAGATTAAACTTCTGTAATTGGACTGAAATTATAAGTCCACCCCTTACATGAATATAGTCAATAATAAAACCTTTGATATAAAGATTTAACTTCTTACTGGACTGAAATAGTCCACACCTTACATGAATATAGTCAGTAGTAAATCCTTTGATAAAAATGATTTAACTTCTTACTGGCTGAAATGGTCCACCCCTTACATGAATATAGTCAATAGTAAATGTAACCTTTGATAAAAACAGGACAGCCTGCATATATTTACATTGTTACAAAACACAAAACAGTTTGCGGGTTAATTTAACATTTTGAAATTGAATTCCCTTAATATAAACATGTAAAGATACAGACCTTTTCTGGAATCCAAGTCCATTATTAAAATTTAACATCAAAAGACAATTAATTAAAGCTCTGAAAATTCTGTGTACTAAATATAGAATCTGTAGTGGTTATTGCAATTTAATGAATTAAGTGTTATTATGCCCCCATTTCGAAGAAAAGGGGGTATATTGCTTTGCACTTGTCGGTCCGTCGGTCCGTCGGTCCGTAGACCAAATGGTTTCCGAGTGATAACTAAAGAACCCTTAGGCCTAGGAACTTCAAACTTGGTATGGTGATTGGTCATGACCAGTAGATGACCCCTATTGATTTTGGGGTCAAGGGGTCAAAGGTCAAGGTCACATTGACCTTGTAAGCAAAAACGGTTTCCGATCAATAACTAAAGAACCTTAAGGCCTAGGAACTTCAAACTTGGTATGGTGATTGGTCATGATCAGTAGATGACCCCTATTGATTTTGGGGTCAAGGGGTCAAAGGTCAAGGTCACATTGACCTTGTAAGCAAAAATGGTTTCCGATCAATAACTAAAGAACCTTAAGGCCTAGGAACTTCAAACTTTGTATGGTGATTGGTCATGACCAGCAGATGACCCCTATTGATTTTGGGGTTAAGGGGTCAAAGGTCAAGGTCACATTGACCTCTTGGGTGAAAACGGTTTCCGATCAATAACAAAAGAACCCTTAGGCCTTGGAACTTCAAACTTGGTATGGTGATTGGTCATGACCAGCAGATGACCCCTATTGATTTTGGGGTTAAGGGGTCAAAGGTCAAGGTCACATTGACCTCTTGGGTAAAAACGGTTTCCGATCAATAACAAAAGAACCCTTAGGCCTAGGGACTTCAAACTTGATATGGTGATTGGTCATGATCAGTAGATGACCCCTATTGATTTTGGGGTCAAGGGGTCAAAGGTCAAGGTCACATTGACCTCTTAGGTAAAAACGGTTTCCGATCAATAACTCAAGAACCCTTAGGCCTAGGAACTTCAAACTTGGTATGGTGATTGGTCATGACCAGCAGATGACCCCTATTGATTTTGGGGTCAAGGGGTCAAAGGTCAAGGTCACATTGACCTTGTAGGTAAAAAAGCTTTCCGATCAATAACTTAAGAACCCTTAGGCCTAGGAACTTCAAACTTGGTATGGTGATTGGTCAAGACCAGCAGATGACCTATTGATTTTGGGGTCAAGGGGTCAAAGGTCAAGCCACAGTGACCTTGTAGGTAAAAACGGTTTCCGATCAATTAACTAAAAACTCTTAGGCCTAGGAACTTCAAACTTTGTATGATGATTGGTCATGACCAGCAGATGACCCCTATTGAGTTTTTGGTCAAGGGGTCAAAGGTCAAGGTCACATTGACCTTGTAAGTAAAAACGGTTTCTGATCAATAACTTAAGAACCCTTAGGCCTAGGAACTTCAAACTTGGTATGGTGATTTGTCATGACCAGCAGATTACCCCTATTGATTTTGGGATCAAGGGGTCAAAGGTCAAGGTCACATTGACCTTGTAAGTAAAAATGGTTTCTGATCAATAACTAAAGAACGCTTCGGCCTAGGAACTTCAAACTTGGCATGGTGATTGGTCATGATCAGCAGATGACCCCTATTGATTTTGGGGTCAAAGGTCAAGGTCACATTGACCTTGTATGTTTAAACGGTTTCGGATCAATAATAAAAGAACCCTTAGGCCTAGGAACTTCAAACTTGGCATGGTGATTGGTCATGACCAGCAGATGACCCCTATTGATTTTGGGGTCAAGGGGTCAAAGGTCAAGGTCACATTGACCTTGTAGGTAAAAACGGTTTCTGATCAATTAACTAAAAACGCTTAGGCCTAGGAACTTCAAACTTTGTATGATAATTGGTCGTGACCAGCAGATGACCCCTATTGAGTTTTTGGTCAAGGGGTCAAGGTCATGACCAGTAGATACTTGATAACCCTTATTAATTGTTTGATCACTGGGTCAGAAGTCATGCATAATAACCTAATCACATGACTAATTGGCTGCTGATAGGGGGCATACATGTTTTACAAACATATCTTGTTTTAATTTTCTTTAGCGGAGTAAATTGCTTTTGCATCCATACTTTTAGAAAAATATTTGACACTTTGAACTTCTGCAAGTTGACATGAAATAAATTGCTCTCATATTTCACTGAAATCTAGGTCAAATTACTTGTGAAAGTCGTGCAGTGCTGATTTTAATCTAAAAACAGCAGAAATGATGATGAAAATTGAATTCTAGAAAATTGGTTTTCTCAAAAGAAAGGATGTGATTCTATTAAGGTATTTCACCCAATACAGCTTAATTAAAGTTTAAAAGTTTTTGTTAACCCACTAATTACCATCTTAAATCTGTAAATGGTCTTGTTCCTCTTGAAATTTGGATAAAAAAGAAGTAAAATGGAACCACAGTCCAGGAGTGTATTTTATGTCTGCCAGCAATATACTGTATACTTATATGGTATTGACAGGTCTTATTTTGTCACTGTACTTTACAGTTAACATTTTAACCATGATGTAGAAAAAAATCGGTCAAGAAATAACTTAATAATATGTATAAGTATTATTTGAGGAAAGTTTGAGATGTCAACTATCTTTATTTAAATATCATTTAAAAGAGACAATTGCTTCAGACATTCAATAAAGTTTTGTTTTTTGAAATCAAAATCTTCCAAGTGGATTGTTCAAAATTCAAAGTAGGGCAAATTTTTTACACAAATGTAGCAGTTTAGGCAGCTGTCATCCAACATGACTGATTGTGGTATTTAGAAAAAGGTCATTTAAAATCTACCAAAACTATGTACAAGTAGATCATCATAATGATGACATTTTAACTAAGTTATTGATGTAGGAAGGTGCTGCTTCTTTTCATTATATCAGAAACAAATGTGACCATATTAAAAGAAACTTTTATTAGCTAGAATTGCTAGATGGAATGGCAGGCCCTTATCAGGGGTACCTCACACTTTCATATTGTCTTGGATGACTGTACATTTAGGTTCGCATTGACTGCCGTACAGTGACCTACTTTCAGCTTAAAATTAATATCTTTGGCTATGAAACTTTGTGGAAATTGCATTTGAGGTAAATTATCACCACTTTGTCTGCAGCTTCAAAATTAACTTTTAAAGGGCATATCTGGTGACATGACTCTTGGGTCTGAACTCGACAGCAAAAGCTGCATATTGTGCCTTTAAATGAACAAAAGCCGCCTTATTAAAGCACATATAACATACATATGATCTTGCTAAATATCAAGCTGCAAGTTGAAGTTTTGAGCAGGACACAGACCCATAGCGGTTGATCTTAACTTAAATACTATTTTCATCAACTTAACCTCCATTTTAATTGATGCATTGCATGGCCAATGCTTGTAGAAAGTGGAATCAATATTGTCACTACATAGCTTTAAAGGCAAAAGAAAATATTATCAGCTTTACTTAAAGCTTGATTGTTGACAAATTGGCTTATTCTGTAACTGTTATGTCTTCTTAGTAACAGACTAGTGTATGTGCAATAACTGGCAACGAAAAAACCCAATACAATAAAACAGTGAAATGAATGTGTCAATAACAAACAATATAAGAGATATTTGCTATGTACGGTCATCAATGTGTTAGGATACTGGCGCTTTGAGAGAGAGAGAGTACTTATAATTATGTTTTGTCTGTCTGTCTGTCTATGAAATGATGCTTTGAGACAGATTAAGTCTTGGCAATAACAGCTATAGAAACTTGGGCTCAACATACTTCTGGATTATAACTATGTTTTGTACTAGAATATATCACTTTTACCCTTTAATTATTTTGACCTTCAAGGTTAAGAAACTTCAACTGTGACTTTGTAATTTATTGGAACAAAAATGATATATAGTAAGAGCATTTGTCTCATAAAAAGTTAAAAACACCACTTGTTTCTTGTTTCGAATGTTTAATACTTTACATGTATATTTCCATGGCACATAAAGGTTATAGTGACTAGCAGGAAGAATATACATAATATATAACTGGTATTTTAATAATGGGTAATTCATTTTTGCATGGATCTCTTATATGATGGAACTCTAACAAATAAAATTGATTGTACTTTATCTTTGATCAATGCATTGATTTCTTGGTAACCAGGTCAACAGTTATTGTACCAAACTGTAGCACATTTACTGGGAGACAATAGGCTAATATCTCATTCTATATGACAACATTTGCCTTCATTTTGTTTTGACAGTTAATGGTTTCTGTCACTTAATGATTTGGCCTGTCAGTTATATTAAAGATTTTCTATACTCTGAGAAGCTGTTTTTGGAGGCTGGGTAAGCTGACTCCTTGCCTATGTATTGGTGATTTTAGGCAACATATTTGTGAAATAATGTCAGTAAGATTAATGATATAGTTTGATTTTGTTAGATCTCTCAATTTGCTTGCAGAAATACTGACATATTCTTTGTTACCATTATCAAGTCCATCCTGTACATACATGCAGGCTTTAGAATAGACTCTTTGCTGTTCCAAAAGCTTTAACCCTTGCCATACTAAATATCTTAAATTGACCGTCCAGTCTTTTGGTCTGGACAAAACCAATCATCAATTTTATGGTAAATTTCAAAGTATGTTCTGACTGAAATTTATAGAATAGGGTAGACTCATTTGCTTATCAGTAGGCTAAGAGTTTAACTACAAAATGACAATTTCAATTCTAAAGCAAGCTTTTTTTTGGTCAAATAGTCAAAGGTCAAGACTGCTTCCATCCAATAACTTGACCTACAGCCTTAAAACTTAATATGAAGGTGGTTGCCAATATTGATTAGAATACCACTATTTTAGCTTGGTAGGTCAAAGGTCAGGATCAGCCTTGGTCATGAATTTTTAAAACAGCTTTTGCATGTTCCACAGCATTTATACTTCATAGGGTAGTTACCATACTCTTATTTGAGTACAAGGCCTCTTATTTTTGAATCAAAGGTCAAGGTCACCATAATTACATTCTTGTATTATCAGAATAGACTAAATACAATCATGCACATAATAGCATGGCTTTGTACTGGTGGTAAACTGTAAAGGCAAGTTATGACAAGCATTCTGAGAGTTAATACCTTGAAAATGGCAAGTGATTTTAGGAGTCTATATGCTGTAATAATGTTCTTTCAGGTACTACTGAAACCAGGTCATTCTTTAATGGATTGGATCAAACTTGGTAGAAGTGGCAAAGATTTGACTGGTGTTGGGGGCCGGAAATTAGAAGTTACACCTGAGGAATTAAAGAAACACAACACCGAGGATGACTGCTGGATTGCTCTAAGAGGTATTCTTAAAGAACATGCTTACAGAAATTGATAAAAAGGTCTTGTAATTAAGCTATGGAGGATATAAATTGAGAATATTATCTTTAGCTTTGAAGGATATGTATTGTAAATAGTCTTTAATTTCAAAGGGGCATCCGTGGCCGAGTGGTTAAAGTTGTTGACTTCAAACCACTTGCCCGTCATCACTGGGGGTTTGAATCTGGACAGGAACTATGGATTCTTTCATGTGAGGAAGCTATCCAGCCAGCTTACTGAGCGTCGGTAGTTCTTCTTTGGTGCCTGTTAAATAATGCATGGAATGCACCTTATGTTTTCCTCCACCAGTAAAGCTGGATGTAAAATTTCACACTGTTTCCAACTCAATGCAGCCTGATCAGAAAGCATGAAAATGTTATTTCAATGGACATTTGGTTATTTTTGTGTATTTTTCCTGTGTGATAGGTTCTTTGCCGAGATTTTGAGTTATCTGCAGGTAATAATGAAAGGAATACCTTCAGTCATATGACCCCAACATTGTATAATGACAACGTGTGAAGTCAGTCTTTTATTCCGTAAACATGTATTTCTAAAATGTTTTGTGATTAAACAAAACAGAACATAATTTTATGTAATTGAAGGAAAGTAACTACTCAGATGAATTTCAGCATTTTGTTAATATAATGATCATGATTTGATCAAAGGGAAAACAATTAAGAATTGATTATTTTATTGCCTAGAATGACCAATGTATTAGTTGGAACAATAAGAGACCTGCTGTACCACTGTACCATTAAAACTGGAAGAGTTATTAATTTACAGTGAAGTCTAGACAAGAGTTGATTGTATAGTCCCATGGGTACAACATAATATTTACTACATCATGTGCATGTTGTATAATGTCTCATATTGTTATATAAATGTATTATTTAACTAAACACTAGACTTTATTACACCATCATAAACATACAAATATATTCCAGTATTAAGTTTATACAGAATTTATTTTAGGTTGATTATGAAAAAAGCTATAAGCTTATAGTCCCACTCACTGAATTTGTTCCTGGGACAGACCATTACATAACAATGAGTGTAAAGTTTCTGGCATCCAGTACTGGTGTCATATGAGGAAACATGGTTGTCACCTTAATAGGGCTCAAACCCAAGATCCTTGGGTGGAGAGACAGACAGTTTAACCACTATGCCATTACTTCCCTCTGTATTCTGTTACATATTCACCTAAAAAATCATATTGTATATGTCTAATACAGGCTTATATCTTGAATTATTAATTTTACTTTAATTAGAGTTAAACATTGTAAATGTTATTTCAATTAGAGTTAATCATTGTGACATTATTATTACAGGTAAAGTGTATAATGTGACATCATATCTAGATTTTCATCCTGGTGGTATAGATGAGCTGATGAGAGGTGCTGGGAAAGATGCAACAGCTTTGTTTGATGAAGTAAGTGTACAAAAATTTGATCTTAAAGGAACTCCTAAGGTCTAAAAGCCTAAAAGCATAAAGTTTGAAATTTCTTACATAGATCAACTGCTTCACTTAAAATTGAAATCTGGGCTGAAGATAATAAAGAAATATACACAAATTTAAATTAACAGTTAAGTTTTTGTGTGATTTTTGGGGCTAATTTGAGTCATTGCAAAGCTTTTCAATTTGGGGTAGTTTTGACAATTGGAAGGATTATACTGAAAGAATGCAGTGAGCGAATGATGTGAAATTTTGCTCTGGACCTATATCAAATGGTACAAGTTGTTTCAAGTCCCTTCATAACAAAAACCTCATGTGCCGACTGATCTTGATCTGTAATGGTTACATGAGCAATCAATTGTTAAAGACACATTATGCATCAGAAACAATTAAATTATCCTTCTTTAGAACCCGAAACACAAGTCTAGTAAATTATGTTTAAATAATGGTTTTACAGCAGGTTAGATACTTATCCAGTGATGAATATAATGCTGACTGTGAGATTATTTGTAATAAAAGTAGCAAAATGTAAACTAAGTAGTATTTTGACATCCAAGCATAACAATAAATCATTATAACTATATTTATTGCCAAAAGCAACAAATGCATAAGATGCTTTAGCTAAGTGGCCAATGAGTACTAGTAACTTTTTAGAAACTATAACATAACTCAAAAAATGAAAAAAATGTTTTTCAGAAATAGATATTTAAGCATTTTTTGGGTCATAGTGGGCCTTTAAAAGCAGGCAAAATGTATAATGACTAACACATTCAGGTATTATGGTATGATATTGTATCATTATTATCAAAGCAAATATTATGCTGATAACAGACCGTCTAATATAGCTTTATACCCTTTTAATTGTAGATTCACAGAAATAATCGTGATTAATATAAATCTTTTTCTAATCCTACTTATTAAGCATCAGATGAGTAATGACCCTTTAATATTATGTACAGCCATGCTTCCAGGAGCCTATGTAAATTTTACAGGACAAATTCTTATGTTTACTATACAGAGCTATGGAATGAATTTGTAATCTCTAAACCCCTTAAAATGGTGAGTTCAGTCTGTGAGAGAATCAGTCTGACAGACCATGAAGTTCTTATTAGGATGGGATTGAATTAATGAGAAAGAAATGTCTGTAATGAATTGGAAGGGAGACAAGAAGAGTGTCGAGTTTTTACATTCTCCCCCCTCTGTCAAACTGATGGAGACAAATTGATATTAAATCAACATCTTATTATATGTCTGTCTGTATAATACAAAGAATATCTCGTCACCCTACTGACCCCTAGTGCAGGTAACTCTTTATTTAATTCAAAATTATTTAACCGGTTACTGCATTAAGGTGACGATCTGGAGATTTTTTTTATATCTGAATTTGAAATTTTGATAACCATTTTTTGTTTGCATGTTTTTTTCTAAACTTTAAAGATTACAGATTTGATAGTTTTCAGTAAATCTTATTATTTTGTGTCATTTTACATTTTTGCACAATTCAAACGTTATGCTGCTAAAACACAATAAATACAGTATCTCCAATGTTTGCCTACATTTTTTTCTTTGCCTTAATCTTTGCCTTAAGTTGCTTGATTTTGAGGGTGTTATTTTTCTTTATTATGCCACCGCAGCATCTGCGATGCGGTGGCATATAGCGATTCACCTGTGTGTGTGTGTGTTTGTGTGTGTGTTTGTGTGTGTGTGTTATAGAATATATAGTGAACTTAAAAAATCTTCTTGTGAAAAACCACTAGTCCAATTTCAACCAAACTTGGCAGGATTGTTCCTTGGGTGAAGGGCTTCCAAAGTTGTTCAAAGAATTTCATTCCATGCAGAAATCTGGTTGCCATGGCAACCAAAAGGAATTATAAGAATAAGTTTAAAAAATCTTCTTGTAAAGACCCAAAAGGCCTAGAGCTTAGATATTTTGCATAAGGCATTGTCTGGTAGACCTCTAACAAGATTGTTCAAATTATAGCCCTGGGGTCAAAATTGGCCCCGCCCCGAGGGTCATTGATTTTCACTATGTACATATAGTAAAAACTTAAAATACCTTCTTGTAAAAACCCAAAAGGCCTAGAGCTTAGATATTTTGCATAAGGCATCTTCTGGTAGACCCTTACCAAGATTGTTCAAATTATAGCCCTTGGGTCAAAATCAGCCCCGCCCCGGGGTCATTGATTTTCACTATATGTACATATAGTAAAAACTTAAAACACCTTCTTGTAAAGACCCAAAAGGCCTAGAGCTTATATATTTTGCGTAAGGCATTGTCTGGTAGACCTCTACCCAGATTATTCAAATTATAGCCCTGGGGTCAAAATCGGCCCCGCCCCGGGGGTCATTGGTTTTCCTTATATGTATATAGTAAAAACTTATAGTAAAAACTTCAAAAAAAATTCTTCTAGCAATTGACAAATGCTAGAGGTTAGATATTTTGCATGAAACATTGTGTAGTAAACCTCTAGCAAGATTGTTCAAATTATAGCCCTGGGGTCAAAAATTGCCCCGCCCTTGGGGTCATTGATTTCATATAGTAAAAAATAAATAAATCTTATTGTCTGAAGGTACAAGGCTTAGAGCTTTAATATTTGTTAAATTATATCATCTGATGGTACTCTACAAAATTTATTCAAATTTTGCCTCTTGTGTCAAAATTAGCCCCGCCCCCTGGTGGCCATAGGTTTTCCTTATATGTATATAGTACAAACTTAAAAAATCATCTTCTCTAAATTTACAAGGCTAGAGTTAAGATATTTTGCATGAAACATTGTGTAGTGAACCTCTGGCAAGATTGTTCAAATTATAGCCCTGGGGTCAAAATTGGTTCGCCCCGGGGGTCATTGATTTTCATTATGTGCATATAGTGAAAAAATAAAAAAATATTTTTGTCTGAAGGTACAAGGCATAGAGCTTTGATGTTTGATATATAATATCATTTATAGGTCCTCTACCAAAGTTGTTCAAAATTTTCCCTGGTGTCAAAATTGGCCCTGCCCGGAGGCAGTGATTCTCATTATGTACACATAGTAAAAACAGAAAATAAAACAAATGTTTTCTGAATGGGAGAAAGCTATAGCTTAGATATTTGACTTGAAATGTTGTTTGGTGGACCTGTATCAAAATTGTTTTGAATTAAACCCTTGGGTCAAAATTATGCCTTGCCCAAGGGGACAGTGACCTACTTTCTTGTCCTTTGATGTACAGCAATGACATTTTGACCATGTGCACAGTTTTAGTTGTAAAATTGAACTTTGATATCAGGTGACCTAGATTTTGATGATGTGACCTACTTTCTTGTCCTTTGGTGTACAGCTATGAAATTTGAACCATGCGGTGGCATAGCATTTTTCTCAAATGCAATCTTGTTTTGGAAGAAACGGATTATACATATTAACTAAGTTACGACTTTTTAGCTCACCTGTCACAAAGTGACATGGTCGAGGGCTCGGCGCAAGACTATTCTAACTTGTATTTTGAAAAATTTTCAGGAAATGGAAAAAATATGTTATTTTATTTTGATTTCATTTTTTGAAAAAAAAATCACAACCAATCTTATCAAAAAATAGAAATAAGTTGTGTACATGTTCATTTTTTCAAGAAAAGTGTAAAATATGCATTTTATTGCCTACATGTTAACATAGCCTAGTATTGCACTAGAAAAGCTACTTTTTCCAGAATATTTATTGTGCAAAACTATTCTATCTTGAGTTAGAATACTTTAACACTATAAAGTATGTCCCTTTGATTCCTAAATCTCGTGCAAAACTATTCTATCTTAAGATAGATTACTTTTGCAATAACTTGAAAGTTAAGAATATCTTTTATCTATCAAGTTAGAATATCATGTTTACTTTTAGAAAGTAAATTTGATTTCTTAAATAATATTTTTGAAGGGATATCAGGGTTTCGGGCGGTTCTAAGACCATAATATAAAGTATAATTTGATATTGTTACATATTTGCATAAATATCAGTGATTTATACCCTACTTAAATATATAGTTGGTACTTGTAAGTGTTAGCAACCTCATACAAACACAAAAATTGGATAATAACTTTCATTCTAGTCATATCTTTTGTGTTAATACAAATTCTTAAAAGTGAAATCTGCAGATTCTTAATATTAATCCTCATGTTGAGGCAAAAGCTTTTGTTGCAAGTTTTTTATATGCATGACTCAGGATTACTGACTGCAATGACACAAATAATGAAATGATGAACATGATTATGGTACTTTGTGCTAGAAAGCATTGTGCATGCATGCTTGGGCTGTGAATGCATCTTTGTTGATGCACAATTAAAGGACTGCTTTAACCCTCCATTATAGGAATTTTAAAATCCTTTAAAGCAGCACGCCTCCAGATTAATGCTAATTTTCATGAAAAATTTGAAAATGTGTTATAGTAAAGTAAAACATTGTGAAGTGAAAAAAGAAAATAACTTTCACATTGTAAACAGTACTTACAACCCATGTTAATTACCAAAAAGAGGTCAAAATATGCTAAATAGCCCTTAATACTGCATTAGTAATGCAATAGAACTAAGGTTGAAAAATACTGCGAAATCGGTCATAATTCGCACATAACTTGGAACTTGAAATCTTTTTACTGAATACTTTTGTTCGGTTTGGTTTTATTGACATATTTTGGTTCATCTTCAGGCATGCAGCTTTAAGTCTCTTATTATTTTAATTTAAATAGGTATTGGTAAAAAATACATGATGTTTATTCAGAATTATTTACTAACACATTAGACATTTCACAAATTTAAAAGATATAAATCATAATATCATTAATTCAATTAATAGTAAAATTGTTCTGTTGACTATAATTTTACAAATATAATATGATTTTGCATAAAAAAAACAAATTTTCTATTTATTCCATCCTGTTTTATCAGTTTTAATTTTTTTTTCCTGACTTTTGCCAAATAACGACATGCGCTCTCATTAATGATGTCATAAAATCATGAT